TTGATTGAATCTCTAAATTTTATTAGTACCACATAAATTGAGAAAGAAGAAATAACCTTTATTATTTCAAAATTGCGTAAAAGATATTACAAATCATACAACAATAATTAGCAATTTAGAATGTTAAAAGACATAAATTTTCTTTTACCATAGTTAACAATAATTAAAAAAAGAAACTATTTTAAATTAATATTAAAATTTGATTAACTCTTTAATTTTGTCTTTGTCACATAAATTGAAATAAAAAATGATACATATTGAGTCCGTGCTAATACAGACTCCAATATCTAGTATAACAAATAAATAAGATCTAAACATCAAATGTCAGTCATGAAATTTTCCTGACAAACAGTATTATTACAACTATGTGTGACCGTATATCTATTTATTTGATATAAATGTTCAATGCGAGTAGATATTACCGTTATTATACTGTCAAAAGTTACTTAACTCTTCACAAAACACTAGACTGCCTTGACCTGTTGACCATGTTGTCAAAATCAGCTCACAACCATGGCTGATTATCCATGAATGCAGTAGAGAGAAATCAGTGAAGAAGAGAGTGTGGAGAGAATCAACCAACTAATTTTCATTATGAGGAAACAACGTATTTATACAAAAAGGAATCAAAATATCTAACTAACTAATGAGCTGTACTAACAATAACAGAATAACAGAATTCAGCTGACTTACTATTCTAACTAATTAATTGAATAGACTAACTAACTAACTAATTAGACTAGTAACATAATTAGCTAAATCATAACAGATAAATATAAAAAAATTAAAACTCTTTCCAAAAAAGAAAAGATCCCATAGATCATGTGCAAATTAAATATCTTCCCTTAATTACCAAACATATCTTAGATGACAACTTCTTAATAATTTATTTCTCCCCAACCCCACTTCCACATGTTCCCTAAGTCAACAATCATATTGTATAATGACTCATATAATATGACTTTTTCTTATTAGAAATAATAATATAGACATCTTTAAATTCCATTTATCTTTCAAGAAGAAGAAGAAGAAGAAAGAGAAAAATGGAAGGGGAAATTCACAATTTCATTGTTGTATGGACTATTGTCATAGCAAGTTTATGTTATTCTCACACCATAGCCAAATTCGTCCCCAAAGGCAAATCAAGATTTGTGGCTATATTTCCAATAATTTGTCTATTTTTCATTCTTCCTCTTTATCTCACCTCCATTAATCTTGGTTGCACTACTTCTTTCTTCATTGCATGGCTAGCCAATTTCAAGATTCTTCTTTTTGTCTTTGGTAAAGGCCCTTTGTCATCAACCCCACCTCTACCACTATCAACATTCATTCCTTTGGCTTGTTTGCCTATAAAGTTTCAAAAAAATTCAACTAGTGACAATGTTGAAACCACAAAAAAGGCTACAAATTCAACTTTCAATCTTGTTACCAAGATTGCACTTTTAGCCACTTTGATAAGGGTGTATAATTATAAAGACAATTTGCATCCAAAAATCATTCTATTTTGTTATTGCCTCCACATTTACTTTATGCTAGAGATCATATTGATCATGGTTAGCGCCACAGTTCGAAGGGTGAGTCGAGTCGAGCTCGAGCCACCCTTCAATGAGCCTTACCTAGCTAGCTCACTTCAGGATTTCTGGGGCAAGAGGTGGAACCTTATGGTAACCAATATACTCCGTCCAACCATATATGACCCTATACATTCAATGGTGGCAGACCGGATCTCGAGGAAGTGGGCCCCACTTCCAGCTGTGATCGCGACGTTTTTCGTATCGGGGGTAAT